CAAACAAGGTTTACAAAGAAGAGGGACTCCAGGGGTCAAGGCTGAGCATCAGCTCTCTCTCCCTGTCTGCCTAAGCCACACACACACATTTGCGCACACTTCTTTATGACTGTCACTTTCCTATGTATGTCCCCAGTGTGCCAGGGTCACTATGGAAACCTTGTTTTCTGCAGAAAATGGCTGGGGTGCTGTGATGGGGTCCTGACCAAAGTTTATTGGTGCAAGATACAAGATTTGTTGCCTGTTTCAGAGAAAAATCTTGTTTTGTGTTGTAGAGACTTGCAATCAATACCAAAAAAATCTCTTGAGATATTTACAGTTTATGGGCTGTGTTTATGTTATTTCTGGCCTGTTTGCTCCAGTAGAACATTTTGAGTGTATTTGGTTATACTTTTGTATACCGACTGTGCAGCAGAAATGATTCATGACTTTCAGTGTTGTTTCAGAGAGAAAATTCACACTATAAATCTATTTCCAACACACTGTGTCACACTCAAAGATATACATGCGCACAAAAACACACTCTGGCACTGTTACTTTACAGTATTCCAACTCCCACACAAATAGACTAAATGAGTCCATCTTCGTTTATGCTTTTTGGGGTAACTGACACAAATGAACCAAAAATAACTTACACTCATTTCACAATTCCTCCAACTAGCAGCTCATCGTTGTGGTTATAAATATCATAATTGCATAACAATAAGCAACATTTACTCTTGTAAATGTCTTATAACACTTATTCATATAAATAAGCAGTTTATATAATAGATTACTTTCAGAAATCTGTCTCCTAATTTGGCACTGCACTTATTAGGAAACGCTTCAGCATGTTTGTGTCTATAGTACAAAGGATAAAGTCCTTTTTTTGTTGTCCTGGGAAGGCTGTGTGTTCTGCTGTGCACTGTGTGATTAGTGGAGGTCATCGCAAACAATAGCACACAGGAAATGAGAGCAGCTACAAAGGTACAAGGGCTTGAGAATATTAGAGAGATGTGTGTGTTGTTGAAATTGGTTTAGATGTGGAACATTTTGCACCACACAGCCCAGAAATAATTTTAGTTATTCAAAGTAGTAGCAGTAATAATCAGGCCAACCACTGCCTACCATGCTATCTTAAAAGGGGAAAGTCCACACAAAGGAAACTTTACAGTTCACTTACAGTATCCATATACAGTTCAGTCAACAATGCTCCTTTTCAAATGAAGCCACAACTTCCTCATTGCTGACTTTCCACGCCTCCCTGTTGCTCTCTTTCTCTTTTTTCCGAGCGTTGCGTCACTGGGGTTGTGGTTTTTTCACTACTCACAGTGCACAGGAAATGTGTTGTGACAAAACAGGTCCCTGTCACTGTTTCCACTCTTCACAGAGGACCACAAAGCTAAATTTAACACCAATAACAAGATCACAGGTGCCCAAAATACTCACTTCCACATACATAGAAGTTTAATTTAACTACTATGAGCTATTTATACTTAACTATGTTAATATACTTATGTCTGGGTTGTGGTTAAGTTTACCGTGTGATGCAGTCTGCCACAAAGGAAACAGCACAAGCCAAATAGCAAAAACTGGGGATAGGTTCAAGTCAGAGGACAGTTAGCCGCTTACTACCTCCCCTTGACGGTCACAGGAATGAAGGTTTGTCAGTAAATAGCCTGCTTGGCACTGGCATGTGTGTCAATCTGACAAGTGGCCAAGTGCCAGCACATAGTTTTCATGCATATGTAGTCATCATTGATCAGTTTATTAGATTAGCCCATTAATTGAGCTAAAAATGTTTGTAAGAGATGAAAACACATCTTCTCACATCTGTTTGTATCACAAAAATTACTTGAAATAAAAGTCCTATCAAACAGCAGTCAAATTTAAGAAAGGAAGACTAAAAATAGAATATGACTACCTATTTCAGTCACATGTACGGTTTATGTGATCCATATCAGAGAAAAAGGGAACTATGAGGAGATCTGGTATTACTAAGTAGGAAAGAAATACTGTACATGCAGTGAATGGAAATGCAAAACTGAAAGGGAGAGTGCAAATAGAAATATATATGTATCCAGGAAGCTACAGGAAGAAAAAAATGTGAACAAGACCACAGATCAATCCCGCTGAGCGGAGACACAAGTGAAGCTGTGTACCATTGTTGAACACCTTCAGATTCTGCCCAGGGTTCTCTCTGTAAATGACGGCACTGTCAATATCAGTCCCTTTTATCTGGAGCGGCTCCTCTGTCTACTCAGTCTTTGTCTTGAGGGTATTGTGAGGCCTTGGCTGTGTGCTGCCAGTGTATGGTCAGCATCAGTGCCACTGAGATGGGAGGGCCAGGAGTGGGAGGGTGTCCATGAGGCCACTGGACTCGGACTACAGCCAGGGCCGACGTGAGTTTTACTTTGGCTAAAAGTATGTGATACTTCCTGTAACTGGCTCCACTACTTCATTCTGGCTGGGAGCAAATACCAATGGCAGGACAATTACCCTGGACACGTCTGAGTCATGTTGGTTTGTGTCCATGTGGGTGTAAACTGTACACCCACAACATACACTGATTGGTACAATCCTGAGAATCTGGTTGTTGTAACAAAAAGGTAAACATATATTCAGAGGCAGCAGTGCTCTAGGCTTTTATTTTCAATTTCATTATCTTTCTTTTTTCTGTTATTTCCACCCCCCTGCTCACTCATTCTCATTTCGTCCCTGTTCTGTCTCTCCAACCCTAAATTCACCTTTCGTGCCATTCCCGTCTGTTGGCCACTGTGGGTCTGGTAGGTAGGCTGATGTAAGGGATATGTGGTGGGCTTTGGAAAAAGTAGATTAGCTCTTATTGTCACTAGGAGAAAATGAGCTGAGGGGTTTGCTATAAATAGACAGATTTACTCCACCCCACTTGTCAGGGCTCTGTGGGAGATCAGGCTCGGGAGCACAACTTTAAGGCCAGGGTCAGTGTGTTACTATGGCGACACGTCCACGGCTGTGTGAGTGTCTCAGGGGGTGATTGTGTGTACATGAATGTGTGAGTGTGTGTGTCTTCCCCTCACTGTTCTCTGGTTCCTGTGTCTCTCCTGCAGCAGCAGTCAGGCTCCCAGCTCCTGCAGAGAGAAAGCATGTTGGGTAACAGCAGTCTGGAGTTCCCCTGGACTCACTCCAGGCCTCCTTTCCCTTCCCTCCAGCCTCTCTCCCACAGTCCTCCCCTCCCTCTCTTCTCTCACCCACCAGCTTCCCCTTCTCCCCACTGACTCCTTCACTTAGAAGTGCTATGCATGTGTGTGTGTAAGTGTTTGTGTGTGAGCTGACATACTTGGCTATTCCCAACAGCCCATACAGTAAAACTGCTGGTTTATTTGTCCTGTTCACAGCAGGTCATCTCACTCCAATATTTTAGTGTTTTTAACACCACCTTGCCTCTAAACACTTCTATTAGCCCCTGTGGGCTCAGTCTCCATATTATGTAGAATTGAACTAGAGTCCGTGTCTGCTGTATCAGCATCCTGACACATCTGTTCTGACTCATTTTCTCCAGTTCCCCATTTTGAATATCAGAAATGAAGAGAGCTTTCCAAACAATTTGTGCCTATTTGTGGCTCTGGCCAAACTGAGTTACAATACCATCATCATCACCATCATCATAGCAACAAATGTTGGGTAATATATGATGAAACACTTCAGCTCTGTGTATCTGCTGGGGAGATTGTCAATGTGGACAGACACTTTCAGATATCACTTCAAACAAATTTACAGTAATGAAGATGGTTCGGGTACTAAGAAGTAAGTTTTTTCTTTTTAAAAACAATGCAAGTCCAAATGTGGTTTCGTCTTTTATCTGATTTGTACAATTCTGAGTAGAAGCATGAATCCTCTAACCACCAGACCCCAAGCACAGAAAAGTTAGGGACTGGTTAACAACATATTTTGAGAAAAAGTAGGCTTATAAACGTGAAGGATGTCAACAAGGCAGCACATTTACTGCGAGGGCCTGTTTTAGCATGTCTACCTGCACCCACTCCATTCAGTGTTTAGCGTACATGCCAGAGGAACAAGCTACCGCACGCCTTTGCCACAAAAACACACAATAGTATCTCACCCTGCATTGCACTCAGCGCTGACAAAGCATAGCGTCACAGTTTCCAAAACCTCTTCTTCCACTTTTGCATCACCTTGCAGGCTAAAAAAACAGAAATGTCACTGTACTGTGTGAACTGACAGGTCATACACAAGCTGGATTCTGAAAGTAGATTGAGTTTTAAATGTTACATCTGTATAGTACATTATGTTACTGGGGGATTTGGTAGTACAAACAAACATGTCTTCTCTGGTTTATTTCTCAGCCTTTTAAAACAGCAGTGGTAAGATAAAGAATAGGTTACATTTGTCCTGCACGGCATGTATCAGTTTTAGCAGTACAAAGTTTCACATTACTATATGTGGGAGAATGATTGAATAAGATTGGACAGGTTCACATTTACACTTTTACTGTTTTTACTGTCATTGAGATAAAAAAAGAAATTGTTTTACAGCACTGCATTGCACAAAGGAGAAAATACAGCATTAGAAATGTAAACACAGGAAACACCCCCTAGACAGAACGGCTGTTCTCCCAACATTCGACTGGCCTTGACCAGCCTCAGTCTCTGTAAAGCCAAAATTGACAATATGGTCCACAAGTGTGGCCCTCATTTCATCTAGGACGTGCTTATGCCCATGCTCCCCACCCCCTTCCTCTGTTTTGCCTCCCTACACTTCCACCACACAGCCCTACTGCTCTTCTTCTTCTACCCAGCAGTTGAAGATGATCATTTCCTTGTGTTTCCATGGTCAGAAATGGTATCACTGTACTGTTTATTCTTATTTTATTTAACCTTTATTTTGCCAGGTTTAAAAAAAACCCTCATTGAGTTTAAAAACCTCTTTAAAAGCCTGACCGAGATAACGAAACTTACATAGAATTGTGCTCTGTCTTTATGTTCTTACCAACTGAAGCTTCATGAGATGCAGGTCTGAGCTATTTCACAGTAGAGAACTGGTTGATCATTGGTTGATCTAATGCTTCACACACTCCCCTTCATTAGTGAAAGTCAAGATTCACTATTCAACAGAGAACCATATAATACATTTTGATCAACACAACATAAGTAACTGATAATGTAAAATTTGCAACTTCTTCAAAACAACGAGAGCTTGTTGAACATGCGCATTATGTGCTTGTGACTGGATGATGTGAAGTTGAGCAAGTAATTGTGAGACTTTTATTTCTTAGAAATGCATAAAAGTGAGAAAAGCTTAAACATAAGTAAAGGACAACTGACTGAATTAGAAACCAAAGTTACACAGCACAAGAATAGTAAGAACTAAATGAACAAATGTCACAGGCTCATCTAGCAACTGTTGACGTCAGTAAAGTCTATCCAGGAATATTTAGTGTATGATTATGAAGCTTCCAAAAAAAAAAAAAGCTTTTATGTGGTGATTCATGTGAGGGTAAAGACTATGTGTCTGTAGCCCCAGTAGACAGAGATAAGTAGATAAGTGACTTACATGGGATTAGTTTATTTGTCTGGCTGGCCTTAAACAAGACCACTGAGTCTGGGATGACTGAGCCACAGCCACTGAAAGAAACCGAAACACAGACAGCTTCCTCTTTCCACCCATCAGTCACACTCCTCTGTCTCTGTCTTTTTTTTTTCTTCCTTTCACTCTGCAGTTTTCTCCGACTCAGCCTTGTGATATCACGGAGCAAAGGATGTGACGTCACTTCCTGTTTGGTTTTCAGTCAAGCTGCCAGCAACTACAGAAGCAGCAGCTTACCGACAGCTGTGTGTGGACCTGGAAACATGCAGCCAAACAGGGGTCAAAAGTTAAACCTTGCTGATTGTAAGTGTGTGTAACAGCTGCTTTTCAAAGCCACATTAAAACCAGTAAACATGTTTTCTTTGTTGTTTGGTATGTGGCTCATCACAGCTCTTATATGGGTTGCTCTATAACTTTTCCAACAATACAGGTGCACAAATCACTGTAGGTGAATTTTTTTTGCATAGCACAGTAAGCAAGGCCACATAGCTGGAGGACAATGCCTTAACTTATTTACTGTGTATATATGTATGCATATCCTGTATTATCTCTGCTGCCAAAAAGAGCAGCAGTAAGAAAACTCCAACTCCTTTTCTGCATCATCTGTCGCTAGTTGAGAGTGTCTGGTGACAGACAGGCAGGCGCACTGACACCCAACCCTGGTAATAGAAGGCAATTATAAGCCCTGGCGAGAGCTGTGGCAATGGGGAAAACTTTTATACGGCCCCCCTCCTGGGGCACTGACATGCAGACACACTGGAATTAATTGCTACAAAACATCAGACGAGCTTGACGCACACATGTGCATAGTCAAACTCCTGGAAAGGAGAAGAATGAAACAATACACATCATGCGACGCTGCCTTGATGCTCGTGAGGAGGAAGAAGAAGAAAGAAAAGGCAGCAAAGAGAAGCTGTGAAAAAACAAGTAGATCCCTTCCAACAAATCATGTTTTCATCTAAATAAAGAAGCCAAAGACAATAGACTCGGGTACCTTGGAGACCAGGAGGACTATTTCTCCATGGCAACCAGTGTGGTGTGTGACAATGCCGCAGTGCAAGGGTTTGAACTGCTAAAGCTGTCTGGGAATGCAGAGATAGATGGGGAGAGAGAGGAAGAGAGACTCAGAGAGTGAGACCCACGAAGGGCTGCCTCTGTGCTCATAATGAGAACACACACTGTCACAATCCCACTGAGAGAAAAATGGAAGTTCATGACTTTCCAACTCACGTTATTTTCTCTCTTTGACTCTTTAAGTCAATACAGAGAGAAATCCTGTTCCTCACTAAATTATGAAACTAAGCCTGTTTATGTTTCCAACAGTGCATATCCAAATATTCTCCTACGTAAACTTTTCTCTGGTGTTGCTATGGAGTTGTTCCCCTGTTTGGCTGTTAGAAAAAGCAGCACCTTGTGGCCTTCGTAGGAGATTTATTTTAATTGTGTGGTGCATTGTGGCCAGGAGAATGTCAGGCTATATGCAGGGTGTGTGCTGTCAGCACACTTGTGGATACATGTACTCGCATCGGCCCTCGGACATGATCATGTGGGTGTTTGTGTTCAATACGCCACATGCATAGTGTGCTAGGATAGCAAGACCAACACAAATAATGGAAAGCGTTGGTGTGTGTCCTTGTAACAAGTTATGTGTGTGTTCTTGTTGAAAGGTGGGCGATGAAGTAAATATAAAAGCTTTATACTTCCTGTTTGATCACTCCTCCTCAGCCATGTCATAGTCCCGGTTTTAAATGAGATTACTGTTCCATAATCTTGAGAAGAAAAGAGTGATTACTGGGGTTCAGACTAAGGCTACTGGATATCTTTTACAAACTCTACACCACTGCAAGTCTCAACACCATCCTCACCCATTTCTCTGTGTCAGCATCGCCCGACAACCATCAACACGCCATCTCCTTTGTGTATCTTTATTTTTATTTGCAGTGCGCTTTATAGAAATTCATTACACTGTCTGCCGCCAACGTAGGCAGAAAAATATTCCCTCAGCTCAGCTGAACTCTCACCCTCCTTTAATGTAAACACTGCTCACCAGTCACGTTTCTCCCATTAAGGTAAATGCCTGCATTATGTATAAATCTAGTCTCCTTAATCCAGTTGTGCTATTAACCCACACACCTACTCATTTCCAAGTCCTCTCATGCAGAGAAAGAGGGACAACTCTGACCCTGTTCATTTGTAGTAGATGTTTTAAATTTAAAGCATTTGAGCAAATTAGACTACTTTTAATTACTTATCACTTAAAAGTCTTTATTGGCTGAGTGCTGCAGTGTTTCAGTTTGCAAAATCATCTAGTTAATCTTCAGTGACCTAAAGGGACATTTGGCCCTCGAGCCTCCACTTCTGAAAACCCATTGTCCCATAAGCCAAATGATTCTGACAGTTATTCATTTATTCATTCCTCTCTCCCTCCCTCCATTTCTTGTTTTTCCCCTTCAAGTATACAACACATTTTAGTGTTGTTTATTGTCTCGTCTCACTGCATCGTCAGCCGTCATACTTGTTGACACACGGCGCTCAGAGTTAAACGATTATCATATGATTGTAAAGGACTGCGGGGCGTTCTGATGGAGACCCGTCTCCTCAGCCCTGTAGGCTATCCCACACTGGCAGTCTCCAGCTGGGGGGTGGGGTTGGCGGACGGGGGAGAGGGGGAAGAGGAGGGAGAGGGGCATACCTGAATCAACCTGTCATGCCTGCCCTCAGGCCCACCTGTCAACAACCCAGCAACACTTGCTTTCTCTTTCACTCTCTGTCTCAGTCACTTTCTGGCTCTACTTTTTCATCACTTCCTCCGCCTCTCTATTCCTCCTTACCCATTTATCTCCCTGCATCTCACCTCTCACTCCCTTCAGTTTACTTCTGCTCTGACACTACAAAACAAATAACTCTCACCTGAGCAGATGTGCCTCTCTCAGACTGTCATTTTCACTTCACAGCAGGTTATTGGGAACAGCTTTGGCCACTGGACCCATGGAGGCTATTTGTCTTGGCAACTTCTGATCTGACCCAAAACTCAAATAAACGGGAGAACAACTTCAACGTTTGTATGGTGCGAGTGTGTTTTTGTGTTTGCGTATGCCTTGCCTGTTTGTATAACACTGGGTTTAGACAGGTCATCCTTTCAGAGATAGGGTTATTTCAGGGCAAGTTTACCAAATTTTCAGTAACCCAGGCTTTGTGTTTACAGCTCTTGGTTCAGAGAGAAAGAGATAAAAACCAAACTATCTTCCTTTTTTGCCACTCTCTCAATAAATGTCAAGGGCCAAGGACAGAGCAAGGTTGATGGCGTGACCGCCTGAGGCAATAATAAACCCACGCTGCTTAAAGCCACTCTTCCACATAAACACATTTGGACTGGCAGAGCTCCACGTGACTGTGGACTAAAGCAAATTTTCCTGACAAATATCTGAAGACTGTTGTAAAATAAAAACAGGCTTCTGTGTCTGGATGTTTTCTGTCTGCCCAGAGTACGTATGTACATGAGTCACACCCAGACATGTTCGCTTTGGACAAAAATCCTGATGCTGCTCAGTCTGGACACTGAGGCCACATCTTTCTCCTCCCCTCACTCCTCGTCTCTTCCTGTCTCACTCTCTGCCCATGTGAGAACTTTAGTGGGGTTAAAAACAGATGGTTTTAGTCAGCTCATTCAGTAAGCCACTAAGGAGTTTTGGTAATGAATCTGGTCTGGCCTGTGCCTGATTTTCTCCTCCACAAACTGACTGACAGATAATGAGGCAGGTTAATTGTTAAACATGTTAAGCACATCAAAGAACAAATAGGAAAGCACAGCAGGAGATGCTTGTGGTGGGTGCTATACCCAGGAAAAACCTATATCTTCAGCTTTAATCTCAGGTACAGTGGTACAAAGGTCATAAGCTCAAGTCTCATCTCTCATTCATCAATAACAGCACAACGGGTGCCTTTACTTATCTAGGTGGGTAAAATTCATTCAATTCAATATCATGTTTAAATAGGATATTTTATTTTGAGCAGTGGCCTCAGTAATCATTGATCTTTCATTTGACCTGCTAGCATAATGTACTAGCTTTTCAAACTCCAAACAATAAATCGAGAAGACTGGAACACTGAAGACCCTGCACACAGAGCCAACCTATTATCTGTTAACATGCTGGGGTCTCGCCACCCACAGATTATGATATACACAGCTTAGACAAACACAGAAAAGTGTTCTGTGTCAACCTTTAAATGTTACCCCTAGCTGTCCTGCAACTGCTGCATGGCGCGGGGAAGCCCCATTGTTCAGCTCGCTACCGGTGACTCATCGAGAGCTGAAAGGTCAGGGGTCAGATCCTTTGTCATACGCATCAAGCAAACAGGCCAGGGGCTCGGTGAGTCACATGTCCTCTGGGATGTGGTGGGGCTGGTTTGTTGGGGGCTTTTGTGATGTGTTTGGTAACTGTCTGTCTGTCGCCTACTGCCTTCAGAAGACAACAACAGGCAGATAACGTGATAGTTCAATGCCAGGGCCCTGTTTCTGTGTGGCACACTAACACCAACCCTGCCCCACAGCCCGGGGGGTAATTATGACACCTGCAGTGACTGTGAAGTGTGAGCAGATTGTCTCACAAACATCACATAACCTAAACTTGTGATCTTACCCACAGATAAACACACATCCTCTGAACGGAGTAAATAATGTCTGGCTGCTTCTGAACTGCAACAGGTGGCGTGGCGTAATCTTCTGCCTTGTATTGTAATGGGCTGTGTTAGATTTCACTGAGCCAGGGTTTATGATGACTGCAGCGCTGAGTCCAAATGTCAAACATTTAAACAGACATACAGTACTGGATATCTTCATCGACAGCACTTTCCAGAAACCCATTAGATCCATTTGGCTTTTCATTTATGTCAATTAGTGCGGAGATTTTCCACAACCCCTTTACTACACTGGCAGTTACCTTGACGTTCATGACAGATTCTATCGCTCTCATGACAGTTCACTTTTTCCCAGGCACATCTTCTTCTGTGTGTTAAAGGTCAGGCCTCACACTCCTGCCTGCTTTAAAAGCTGGAAGCAAATGACATTTATCAAAGACCCCCAGATCATCTTCTCTGCCCATCACTCTATGGCTACAGGCTAATGTTCAGCCTTCCACTCTGCCCAAAGTGATCAGGCCTCCGCTCTTCTCCCATTTAATCATCAACTTTACATGTGTGTTTTACAGGTGCTGACACATTCAGACCAAATTTTAATTTTATTTTATCATCTTAAAAACCTTCACTCTCATGCCATCCCACTTGACAAAATAAAATGACAACAGCTTCATTCTGTACGCCAAAAAATCCAAGTACTCTCTTTTTTATATTGCATTATCCATCTCCTCTGTCACATTATGTAACATCCAGGCTTTGGCAGCTGTTATTGTCCACCTTCTAATCTTGGTCTGCCCATCATGGGAGCACACCATGCTGAACACACCTGTTGACTAATGGTTAGGGAGTGCACCACTGGTTGGTGTGGGCAGCCTTGGAGGTGTGAAGGAGGAGCAGGAATATTTGTCTGTCTGTCTGTCCTGTCCCCCTGACTGACTGCCTGGCACTGGCTGCTGATAAATGCCAGCACAAAGCTTGGTATTTGCTCCCACATACAGGATGTGAGTGTGAGGATTTTCTCTCTCTCTCTTTTCTTTCTATTTTTCTATCGCCCTCGCTCTTTTTTCACACCTTCTCCATCTCCTTTTCTCAACCTGCCTCCATCTCCTCGCTATCTATACAGCTCTATTGGCTCACTCACCCTTCATCCTTTATTTTTATGTTCCAACTCGCTCCTCTCCTCCACCTCCTTTTTTTTTTGCTTTCCTATCTATTTCCTCGTCTTTTCTCTATGGCAGATTGGGGCATGATTAAATATTAACCAGCACTTGTGCACGGTGTGTTTGTGTGTGTGTGAACAAGGGCGTGGTGGCTGCTTAGGTAATAGGAGAGCCTTTCTTTCTCTCCGGCTGGGAGAGGGGTGGGGGTTCCTAACTCCTCTGGCTGGTTTGTGTGGGAAGAAGTGGGGAACACACTGAGGAGAATGAACCAACTAACCCAAACACACACACACGCAAACATGTAACAGTGCACATATATCACAAGCATCTATACACACACCCACATAGACTAATTCTCCTTCCTCTGCCTTTTCAGCGTCTGGCTTCCACCCCCTGCATGCATCAGAGTGAAGGGCGGCCCAAACATCCACTATGAACTCTTTATCATCTTTATTACTTTATTACTTTTCTGAGAGTTTTCCCTAACTTGATTTTATTACATTGTCATCTGATGATGAGTTCTCTCACCTGCTCTCTCTGGTCTTCTTTGCTTTGCCATAGAATTGTCGACAATAGTAACTGATGCATGAGAGCAGCAGCAGATGCAGTCAGGAGCTTGATTTTGGTCCCCTCGCCATGCACTTTGTGTAATTCACCATCATCACATCCCGTCTTCTGGTCTTGTTTTTCTTATAAGTAACAGGCCCTTAGAGGAGTGACGTCTCCCATTGCTGAAAAACAAAACATACAGTAAATTCAAGTTTTAAAAGTGTGTGTGCAGCAGGAGCACCGTTTTCCTCCTAAAATACCACACCGCTGTGCAGTGCCTCATAACTTCAAAAGTGATTAGATTGGATCATTTATACATATCTGACTGTATGAATAAATAACATTACACATTCTCCAGCTGCACCCTCTACTTCAGGCTTATTTGGATTTTCTGAAGAACCTCTGCTCCACATCATCCATAATATATGACAGGATTTTGCTATCAGTCTAATGGGGGTAAACAGAGAGGTGTGCCAAAGGCCGAATGGGAAATGCCTGAGAGAGAAAGTAATCCAATAAAGATCATAAACCCGCGGTGACGTTGTGTACCTGAGTTATGTTTTGTTGCCACACCTATCTATCTGTCTAATGCATTTTGTCAGTTGTAAGACCGGAGTAACGTGTACATTCAATAGATTATATCATTGCTGCACCAACACATGTAGATCATAGGAAGCTTAAACATGCAATGCAATCACTTCGAGTGTAAATCAGATTATAGGATAGTTGAAAAGCAAAGAGTCCCACCTGCGCTGCCCTCCCCACCAAACCAATATGTCTCTTTTCTCTGCGTCTCTCATTTTCTCTGTCTCTCTTTCTCGGGCCTCTCAGAGTGTCCTGCCCACGATGTCTCCCAAGGAGGTTGTTTGCATAAAGATCTAGTCAGCAGCAAGGGAAACACATTGATTTCCCGTCGGCATTCACCGAGAGAGTGCTGGCGCGGCAGCCGAGGTTGGAGCGGCCGTGGGGGTACATCGGCATCCCGCAGGCGTCCTATAGCCGTGTGCGGCGTTGTTAACGAGGCCGCTGAGTGGTGGAGAGATTCCCCGAATATTGAGCAGGGGACACCCCTCAATTAGACGAATCGCCCTCACCTTATCGGCTATCTGTTGTCCTTAATCAGTGACACAACCGAGAGACATGGAAAATGAAGTTTGCAACCAGCCAGCAACTTTGCGCACTTTTATATTTAGAATCCCATAGCCTTATAAATCCCTTCACTATATTAAATGTTAAAATGTTGCATTTTCGAATTATTCATAACCATTAACCCTAAAGGCATTGAAAAGCATAGCAATGAATCTTGCAGCCATAGTGTATTAAAATTATGTTGCAGTCTGAAAATAAAAATAAAGTTGAAGTTTTGCTAGTTATATATTTTCTGTGCTTCTGTTGAAAAGTATTGTGGCCTATCATAAATAGTCTCCACAAAATTCTTGCGTTGTGGTTAAAGCATTAAATCCGTCCTTTTTAGAGCACAATGTAGACTGTATTAAACATAACTCCTAAATGAAATGTAAATCAAATTGTCTGTTGCACAAACTCTTTCACACAGTTAGTTCAGCCGAGGCTGACGTTTTAAAACAGAGGAGCAGGATTCTGTTGCTAACATTAGTTACTGTGAGCGCTGGACGATGATTTGCACTCCTGCCTCTCATTCACTGCTTAACAGCGATCAACGCTGCCTCAGGAAGTTCCAAATAAGGACAGGGAAATGGAAACCCACAGGAATAGGTCCTTATGTAGTCACGACCTTATAAGGTACGGCGGAGCCGGGCTTTCCGGCAGCAGCGCAGCCTGCTGCACAGATGAGA